TGTTTTTCAGCAATACATCTCATATTGTTAGTTAAAGTTTTAATTACATAAAATCATAAATAAATATTTAGAATTGAACCATTTTATTTATTATAAACAGTAATACCTATGTCGATATTTGTCTTTATTTTTGAAAATACTTCAATCAGACCCCTTCCTAATGGTAATGGTTTATGGGTTAGACTAAGGCCTTTCTGCACTGTAAATACCTTGATCTATTGTTCATCCCTTTCTATTTAGACATTTAGTATCTCAAGAAATCGAACCAGCTCTTCGAAGGGAGTTTTTGAATGTATTTATCCTCTAGTTTGTATGAATCGGACACCCTAGTTCTGATCTGAAAAAAATATTTCAATTTTAAAAGAAATATGCAAGTAAACTGCAAATTGAAGGTACACTTAACCGATATCTTAAAATTCATTAATAATTTGAATACTATAGATACTATTAACGATGTTTTCTGAAATTTTTTACATATCTTTAATGGTATGCTCTTTCGGCCAGCATTTAACAATATTGACCTCCTGCTATGTACCTATATTAATTAAAATTGTTTAATGAGCTTAAAAGTTCCGTAATACCTTATTTGTTTGCCTCCTCATCAATAATAATAATGCACTTAAATTATGTATAAGTACTTACTACCTATTACCTGCTACCGCACTACCTCGTTCCATTCAAAATGCTGAACTCACAGAAAAGTTTGCAAATATTCATGGTCAGCAAAAGGAATTTTACAACACGTGTCATTTTGCAGCAAAAATGCTTGTAGTATTGTAAAATGAAGCTCATTAATATTAATATTTTGATTTATTACCTATAAATAAAAGTTTTAGTTTTTTTGTGTTATTATCGAGTAATTAATCATAACGTCTTTATAAATTAACAGTTAATTAAAAATATTAGCAAAAAGTATAGGCGGTCACGGTAACTGCTTCCATACCACGACTATAAAGGACTTACGAAAAGACTTACGACTCCTTTGTATGCCTGAGATTTGTAACTACTGAACAATAAAGTTTTTCTTATCAAATGTATCAATTTGAAGGAGCGTATAAGCGTTGCTGGAAAGAGGGCGGATATTCCCTCGAATATCTTTTATCACTTTTAGCAGAACGTCAGTAACATTTTTCCTACTAGCGCTCCCATTCGAATACACCACTGCGAACACATTCAGGCGCAAATGAAAAGGACATTGCATGCATAAATAACATTCGATTTGCACCATCAATTTGATAAATTTGATAAATTTCCGTTCATAATAAAATAAAAATAATATTGCTTTGCCACAGTTGCGCCTGTTGTGTGCGGTAGGAAACAAGTCATATACATTTTAGTATCTATTGCTACTTCCTCTTCATGTGTAGATACAGTATGTACGGGTGTACGTGGTACTAGATTGTCGTCCTTTTTGGTTTCATTTGTTGGTTTTTATGAATGTTGTGGTTTTGCTTATGATGCATAAAAAATCACTTTTAGTCTTGCTGTGAATTGATTAATTGACAAATCCATCAGTGCTTACATTCCTGTGGCAAGCCACTAACAAATTCAATACTCAAAATACTGAAATACTCAAAATATTTAATTTATAAACAAAATATGAATTAAGTTTATCAATACATGTCATTTAAATGGTAGATACAATATACGAAAGACTTTATTAGACACTAATAATTACAGAATATAACAATAATGATTAATAATACAAATTACTGAACAGACCTGAGACCTAAAGACCTAACAATTATTATGTGATTATTGAGTGGTCACTATAAACTGAATAATCACCTAACGAATTCAATCCAACTCAGACTGCAGATACTGTAGAGAAGAGAGAGAAACTGCATATCACGTGGTTGGGGAGTGCCCGGCAATGATGCCGAAACAGAGGAAACACCTAGGAGATTATTTCATGGATTATAAAGGTTCTAGACTAGGAAAGATAAGCTCTATACTGTTTTTCATTAAAAAAATCGAGCTTGGAGAAACACTCTAATCCAACTCAGACTGCAGATATTGTAGAGAAGAGAGAGAGAAACTGCATACTCCACGTACATGGGGAGTGCCCGGCAATGATACCGAAACGGAAGACATACCTAGGAGGGTATTTCATGGATTGTGAAGATTCTAGATTAGGAAAGACAAACTCTATACAGGCTTTCATTAAAGAATTTGAGCTTGGAGAAACACTCTAATCTGACACAATAGATCTTTTAGGTCGCAGTGCACTATCGCTTTTCCCAATAATAATAATAATAATATATTAAAAAGACTTACCCTAAAGTACAAAAATCTATCTCTTCGTCTACTATGTGATGTGAGTTTACCAAACCTAAAAAGTATTGAGTAGTTAATGATATGATTCTTTTATTTTTAACTAAGTAATGATATATAAAAACAGTGAAGTACATAAGTATATACCTATATGATATGTATATATTTGAATTACATTATAAACTGATCATTTATAGTACAATAATCTTTTTTCTAGTACTTGGTATAATATTACCAACTTAAACAAATAAACTTACTGCCTTAGTTACGAGCAGTTCCGTAACTTACCATAGAGTTTCACTTTTTACGTTATTTATAAGATATTATTCAAACTTTGTTTACATAATTTTAGTCAACGTGTGTTTGAAATTCAGTAGCATAAAGATATGATATGATATCGCAAATGTGTGGTTTAGTCAAAGTTAATTATTTTTACTCTACTCAAAATGTAAGAATGCCATTATGGTTTCTAACTTCATGCTTTCTAACTATAACATATAAATGACTCTAAACATTTTAATGGATCTTACAGTTTGATTTGGACACTTCTTTTAAATTGTGAAGTACAAAAGTAATACTAGCATTTATATCAGTAATAATTGGTGCACTAACATGACATTATTTCTTAAGAACACACGTTCCAGAGATGGCAACAAATTAAAGGTTCAAAAACTTAAATATACCTGAAACAAATGAAACTCTAAAATATGTGCTATGTAATGCCTACATAAAATCTCTTATGAAGCATTATTCTTATTAAATATATACTCTTACGCCTATTAAAAGCATATGCAGACATTAATAGACATTCTACTCTATACTATATTTAATCTGTAACTGGTACCAATATGAGCCAAGAGATATATACCTGACAGCTTGATGTCTACCAATAACTACCTATATTTTATATATATTTAATTAAACTAAATATTTATGTATATAAATATTTATGTATTTTTCCGAAGTTCCGAAAAATATTTTTTTTCAGTTTCACTGCCCCTAATACGACTCTCTTTTGAGACTAATCGACTTACACTACATTTCTGTATTAATCTCAAACTTATTTGAATTTTAGAATACTTAATAATTCATATTAATTTATATATGGTATAAGTATTTACGAAACTTTTCACAAGGTAACAACACACTAATCCTTTCAAAACTTTTCTTTTCAGAAAAAACTAGAAAAATATATAACAAATTTAATCCTTTTAATACATTTCAGTTTGAAATTTATAACAAAATAAAAGATTTCCAGAGGATGTGAACTAAATTTTTTGGCAAATTAGCAATAAATCATAATAACCCGATTTTGGTCGTAAACTTGCTTACAATTTAGTTGCTGGAAAGTTAGTAGAAGTACTTTCCCAAGTTTTTACAATTGTTGTATGTTGATAAATTTGAAAAGTTTGAAATTAAGGCAATTGCGCTACTAGCTTCCATACAAAATAAATAGAGTAAAAAATTGTGATTTTGAAATATGAAGTTCGTGACAATAAAAACTTTAAGTCCTTACAATTTGCCAGCAAAATAAAAATTCAAAAACTTTTTGACAATAAAAAATACTTATAAGTCTAATAATAGCCTTAACTTAATTAAATATTCGGACTTTCATATATAAACATTTATATTAAAAAGAAAATATCTTTTATTTCAAAAAGATATACATATATTTTAATACAGTATTATTTTACATCATTAGAGACAAAAATAGTGTTGGCGAAAATAGTTTTAAGTGAACTAAAGGTATTACTGTAATAGGTATATGTCAAAAATAACAATTTCGAGAAAATTAATTTAACCTTTCATCTCGTAGATTGCTCTGTTTGCGAATAATACTCATATGTTAGTGTATCTATAAAAAGTGAAATTTATGCATATGCGTAAACATAAACGTTTATGTGTCCCAGCTAATATATCCTTCATATACATTGTTGCTTGTTAACACTTGAGTGGTTGAAGAATGCCTATATTAACAACAATTTTATTGTGTTTCTGCAATGGCAGTAAACACGCCATTTTTGCTGGAACATTAACACATTTTCTGTTTTAATGTCCTTGCCAATTTATTGTTGCACTTGTTTGGCAAGATACATGCTTAGTGTCTATGTGTGCCTTGAAATACGTAGGTAATAGCTTACACTTAACCCAAATCCGTATGAGTGTATTAGCGATTGCACCGCAAAATGTGCTCGGTAGTGACTGTGCAGAAACGAGAATGCGTGTGATATTTTCACACTTGAGAACAACAGTCATATGCTGGAATTTATATATTCATACGCAATTCAACACTCATGCAAGGACACGCACCCACAGCGTGATATACATCGTGATCCATGTACCATGCATGTGCTATGTAGGCACATGTAGACTATATAGACTAGAAAGGATATCATTTTTCATGATTATGTTTATTGGCATTTTTATTTTTATTACAAGCAGTTCTTTTATTACCGCAAAAATTTGTGCATACAGCAACACAGCAATACGAAAAGTGTAGTAGATATTTGTTGCGTTTATCACAGTGGTTTTTGTCATTTTTTCGGCTGTAAAAATGGTGCTAACCAGAACTGTGGACAGATAAATAACACACAAAACATTTATACAACACAATATTTTTATATTTTCATGTCAGTTATTTCAAATTCATTATATAACATTTGCGTGATTTCTGTACATATTTACGGGTGAAGCCAAATGGATTAACAGCATTTCTATTATTGCAGATTGTGAATGAATATACCGATTGGGATCGCACGTCGCAACATCCAATAAACACACGAGACACTGCTGTCGCTGCATTATCTGATGCACAATTTGTGGCACCAATTATTCGCACTGGTGACATACTTGCAGCACAAGCACCGGCGCCTATGTCTAATACTCAAAGTCCTTCTACCAAAGATGGCGACTCGATAGCCCCACCAACAGGGCGCTGTTACTTTTATGTGTTCGATTACCAAACAAAGGACGGTGATTATCCACAGCGTATGGGTACTGTGCATGGCGAGGACTTACCATATTTATTTGGTGCACCATTAGTTGATGGCTTTAGTCATTTTCCACAAAACTATACCAAATCTGAAATTGCACTCTCTGAAGCCGTTATAATATTCTGGACAAGTTTTGCAAGAAAAGGGTAAATATAATTTTATTAATTGCTCTTTTATCGTGTAGCTTGAATTTAATTAGGATAAAAAAGCAAATATTCATTAACCCTATATGGCATGATATGGTAATATTACTTTCAAAAAATGCTTACACAAAAGATATATAAACACAATTATAATTTGTACGTTATATTATAAAAATATTGAGAACAATAAAATAGGAAAAAACTATTAATATAATTTATTACGTATAACTTAAATGCAACCAATTTGTTAAAACAATTTAATATTATAACTATTACGATTGGGTTAATAGTTGAAAGTGTTGGATAGGATATTATTATAATCCAAGGCAGAATGGTCAACCATGACTAGAAAAGGGTCTTGTGCCATATTTAATTAGAATCTCTAATTAAAATTGGATACAGATTAAGATTTTTATGGAATCTTTGGGATGAGTTCACAAAGTATTCTGATACTTGAAATTCGATAAGGCTCATAGGAAGATAAATTCAATTTTTGAAAATCACTAGTCACAAATAAAGTAGAAGAGGTTTAAGTCCCATCCCATCACTATTGTAGGATATTAATTGACATTATATTCTGTTAAAAATAGTAATTAATAATAATCTAAAATGGTGTATATAGAATTATTACAAATTGAAGTAGAGTAACAACTTTAATATATCGTAGTGGTTCTAAGAAATAAAAATAGGCCAACGAATTCAAAATTTGATTTTTTACAATTAAAAATTTTCTATGTAGCAATCCAAACGAGCATCACAGACAGGATTTTCTTCCAGCGTCGAAGGAACGTAGCCGATTCCGATCTATCACATGGGATAATTATGATCCCATGCATCAAAAATACATCGAAATAGGTGAGTTTATTAACTACACGTACCAAAAAGTATTTAAATTTTATATTAAAATGTTAAATAAAATGTGTACATGACCATATAATTCGTGTAATGAACTATTCAAAAGTAATTTCAAGATTGATTTGAATTCTAATGGAAACATTTTTTTTTATTATTTTATTTTTAATTATGTAAGCACATCTTAAAAACTAAACATAATGCAATTAAGCAGGTGCAAAAAAGGAATCTAACCTTTATAATAAAATGCAATGGATTATATATGTTATATCAAAATTTATAGCAAAGGAAAGAAAGTCTAGATATTGTGGTATCAGAAAGCAACTGTTGCGCTATCGGATTACTATGCTGGTGAAGTTTCACTTTATATTTTTGGCCGCATGTTCTAATGACGTCTGCAACAGTTGGGATCCCGAGATCGTTGTGGATATATACATTTTTGAGATACAAAGGAGCGCCGGTTATTTGTCTAAGTAATTTGTTTTGAACTCTGTATTTTTTCGATATTAAAAGCACATGCTTTTATGCTTGTTCTATGCCATAGGACCAGATAGGTTTTAAGATTGAATTATATACCAGGACATTATTTTCCAGACTTAGCTTAGAGTTTTTATTAATAAGCCAATGCAGCTGCTGTAATTTCAATTTTATTTGAGTTGTTTTGCTTTCAATGTGCTTAGTCCAAGTTAGCCTTCTATTAAGATGAATGCCAAGACATTTTACATCATGTGACTGGTGTATAATGATGTTATTCAACTTAACAGGGGTGCACGTTTCTTTTCGTAGAGTAAACGTGACATGTACACTTTTCATTTCGTTTACTATTATCTGCCATTTTGCTAGTCACTTCTTCAATAGACTTAAATGAGTCGAGACACTTTGGGATGACCTCATGTAATCACTGTTAGAACTAAGAATTGGAATGTCATCCGCGAAAGTAGCAAGTACGTGATTTGAGAGTAGTGGGACATCAGTTGTGTAGATTATATACAGGAACACCAGCCATTATGTCGATTTCTCTTGAAATGAAGGTATTGTATTTCAATCTAAATTTTCCAGAGGATATATATGAATACAATAGCTTATGCATATTTTCAGGAAAGTAATACTTTATTTTATAGCTTGGGCTACGTCCAAGAAAACGGCATAACAGTATTTTTTGTGCTGAAAGGCAGTATGAATTTCTTTAGCAATTCTGTAAACTTGCTCAATAGTGCCATGTCCGGTTCGAAATCCAAATTGATGGTTTAGTATCACATTGTTTTGAGTTATTATTGGCTTAATATATGACAGCAGCATTTTCTCAAAAATTTTGGATAACTGGGACAAAAAACTAATAACATAGGTCTGTATGATGATACCAAAATTAAGTCTTTTCCTGCTTTCCTTGGCGTCATCCAAACACAACGTAAGGGGAGTTTCAACAGTAGAAGGAGATTCAATATTTAGTTGAAAATCTGTTATTTGTGGGTTTGGCTGAAAGGCGCCCTTTAGGTGTTTTTCTAAAATACAACCTTTTTCTTCGTCATTGCGAGCCCAAGAACCATCCGGTTTTCTAGGCGGTGGGTCATTTTATATTGGCGTTTTAAATTTCTTCGTAACCTTCCACAAAAAATAGTTGTTTTTTTTAGATGGACCAAGAGCCTCGAGATATTCTTGTAAAGCGTGATTTTTGTCATCAGATAGTGCTTTTTTAAGAAATTTTGAAACTTTATTTAATCTTTGTGGTGATCGAGGTGGGTGATCGATGTCTTTCTCGCTCGGCTTGACGTTTTCGGAAAATAAGATAATCAATGTGTGACTGAAATACTATATTTGACTGTACTGACCTTTTTGATTGAGAGGCTTTAATTACAGCATTATTTAATGTCTTGGTGAAGTTATCAAATGCTTTATCAATTTCTTTGGGTGATCTGAAATTTGAGTTATTACTTATTTCCTCATTAATGATATATCTATAAATCCTCCACTTTATAAGAGTTTTCTTATTCTGCTCTGTTGAGTTTGTATTAAATTTTGTAAGAGTTAAAATAACTAGAGAATGGTCAGAGGAGAAGTCATAAGATGATTTAACAGCAATGTCTTCACGTTTCATACCATTAATGATTGCGAAATCGATTAAGTCTGATGTTTTTCGATTGTCTGATGGCCAGTATGTTGGGTGACCCGAGGACACAAGATCAAAGTTGTTGCCAAGTGCTGAATACAGTTGACGACCTCTTGGATATATCAGTATAGAACCCCAAAAGGTGTGTTTAGCATTGAAATCCCCAGCAACTAGAAAGTTAGGACCGAGATAATTAAAAAATTTCCGGAATTGATTAGAATTAATATTAAATTTAGGAGGGCAATAAATTACTGAAACGACGATTTTAGTTAGACCAGAAATTACGCAAATTGATGTGGCGAGATCTTATAACGTATTTAATAGCAGTATAGATAAATAATTCAGCTAAATAGTTTAGATACTATAATATACTATATACTAAATATGTTGAAAGCGAAGTGATATTTTTTCTATATATTCAAAGTATCAAAAATATATTTGTTTTTAGTCGAGATTAGATTGCCAGATACAGTTTCTTTTCAAATAGATTCAAATTTAAATTAATTTATTTAATGTCTTTAATCTGTTTTTATTACAGACTTATATACTTTTTTGACTTTCCAAAATAGTCAAACCTTGTACTACATGAATTCAACCGAACCTATTTTGTAATCCACTTTGTGGTTATCGACTAACTTGTATTTGTGTAAATGACAAAAGTTTTCAACAGTTTCACAAACACACATTCACATTTGCTAGTACCGTGCACAGTGGCAACCCTGCCAGTCTGTCAGCCAGCCTGTCAGTCCTTATTGTGTGTGGCTTTGTGTTTGTGTTCACTTATTGCCATTGTTTTCATAGGTGATTACGACCTTTTTTCTGTTTGCTTTGTATTTTGATTTGTAATTATTACTTGTATACTTGGACGGGGGCCCTTGGACTAGGACATCACTTTGGGATATTAAATATTTCAAAAGTATTCTTTTACATCGACACTTTTTTAATAATTGTTTGTTTTTCTACTTTCGAGTAAAGGTAAAGGTTTGCTTTACCTTTTTCTCTGTTTGTTGTTTTCCCATTAAGTTGAAAAGTTAATTTTATGTTAAAGGTAGGACGATAGGGCGGCAAATGGTGATAAGCCAATGATTGGTAGAACATTTTAAAAGAGATTTTCCTATTTAAATGAAAATAAATAGAAAACTTACACAATTAATATGATTCTTGGTATGTGTATTGTGGTAAAGTTATGTTGTTTTTTTAAAGTTCTGTTTTTTATTTAAATTATACATATTATATACAAGATGCATATGTATTTCTTGTTATATACGGAACAAGAAACTGCAAGAGTTTTGCGAGATTTAAGTACAATCAATTATATCTGAGAAATGTTTATGTGTGTCTCATTTTCTCACTTCAACATATTACTATTTCTGGTCGTTTGATCTAAAATATATTAAGTACCTAGAAATCATACAACGAATTTACAGTTTCTTGACAGAATGAACTGTAATTAAAGTAAAAGTCAATGCAGAGAAAATGTATCACTGTAATTATACCATTGAAGTGCATATATAAAATGTGATGATATATATTTTTTTAAAGAAATTGTGAGTAAATTTAATACTGAAAATGTATTCAATCAATTTCTACAAAATCGTTATTTTAAAAGAAGAATTTTTAAGCATGATTAAGTGGCAAAATTGTAAACCCTCATGCTAGCAGTAACATCATTATAAACGGAATCGCTGGTGAATACGTTAATTGAATTTATGATGAATCAAGATTAAGTAGGGATCTTTTAATAGAATTTCTGAATTTACTCGAAATTTTCAGATATCATTCATTCTAAATTTGAAAATTGAAAATAGATACTTTTTACTTACTCTGAAATACAAATTAATCGAATTATGCAATAGTGCGCTACAAGTAGTTGAATTCATGATTATATTGATGGACCTCATAAAGCTGAAGACATACTGCTACCACGAATTCATTACGATTTCGGCATTGCATTCGATTTAAATTTTCAGTATGCCTTGTGTTAAGTATAACTATCAATAAAGCGCATGTATCCTTGCATGTATCCAGTTATATATCGTATTCTCCTGAATCGCTAAACCATTTATACTTTATGTTTTTACAGAAAATGGACAAACGAAAAATGTGGTCCATTCACTTCCTTTACAAATTTTACCGATTTTCAGTAAAGAAAATTTTTACTCTCTTTGATTTCGTTCAAGAGCATGACCACAAAGTAAGGTTTGATAACTTGAGTGATATTTTTTCTCCTTAACTCTATGTTCCCGGGAATAATTTCATTTAGTTTCCTAATAATTAATATCAAAATAAATTGCAGTGAGACAGGGCAGGATTAAGCTAACATCATATTAAATGCTGTTAATATTTAACAGCAGTGATACATAATGTATATTGTTAAAATCATTAACTACCATTAACATTAACATTACTTGTAATAATTATATGGTCTGAAAGGTAGTAAAGTTCAAATACTAATTACTTATATTTCAATCAGTAATTAGGTTATTTTTGTCCAAAACTATTTGGTCAAATATAATTGTATAAACTCTTCTTGAAAGCAATACTTGAAATTATAAAATCAAATTCTCATAAAAAGTTGAAAGATACTTTTGTTAGCATAAATAGCTTGCAAATACAAACCATTTCGATAATGGCGGGTATTCCACTAAAACACACGTCACTCGACATGAACCCATTAAACAGTTTTGTGTTAATATCTTGCGATATCATTCACTAAAACTATGTTGATGCATCCAAGAAGAATCTATCTAAGAAGCCAATACACGCTTTTATAGCTTAAAAAGAAGCTCATGTATTAAAATTCTATTTCGGAAGAGCAAGATAAAAGTATTTAATACTATTATATAAGCACAATAATATACTATAATGAGTAAATTACTTCAAAACATATTTGGAG